CAAATAGAGGCATAGGCACTATTGTTTATATAAGTGAACATGTTGTATTTTAATTCTTATTCTTCACAAATATTTGTTCAGAATGTCTAGAATCATCATGTATGGTATCTGTGCATGTATAACAGCAGGCCTCACTACAGTTAACTGTTAAATTAAAATCTCGTGCATTTTTATCTATATTTATTTCCATGGGCTATACTAAATGTTTAGTTTTGTGACTGAAGACATACATACATACATATATACATACATACATACATACATACATGCACCTTGACTTATAATTTGAAAATATTATCATTCAAAAATGTATTTACCACACCTAATCCACCAAGTGTGTGCAGAGCATTTACCACACAGTATTTTATAAAGTGTGTAAGACTGAGGGATGGAGCTCAGGGGTCCCATATTACCTAGCATGCCCAAGGTCCTGGACTCATCCCCATCATGGCAGAAAAATGAACTATTGAATATCCCTCCTTGAATACTATACTTAAAGCAAAACCTGGAGTGCTAATATGGTAGCTTTTTCCACCATTATAAATCATGGATGTCCTCATTGCCAACTATACCGGTTTATCATTGCCACTTAAAATATTTGGTCTCCCATTTGTTATTTTTAGTAGCCATCAGAATATTTTTATTTCAACAAATTTATAATAGAAAGTTTACAGCCGTCAGATCAACTTGACTTTAATATTTTCATATTCATTTTAATGTAGTAACTATAATCCATTATTTTACTAGATAGCCAATTTAGTGTTTTCTTCTCTCTCTTAGTTATACTTTGCTTGAAACAAACAGTTATATTACATGATTCTTGGTGTTACTTTTTGTATTTCATAGTATAAAGTGATAATAGGACAAAGAAATAAAGCATAGTATAATTGGACAAAAATGATATGATAGGACCTTGGTTTAAGAGTGAGCAGTTGAACTCAGAGGACATTAACTTTTATAAGCTAGATGTCAAACGTGGTTGTGTTGCTTTCATGGAGTCTACTCTTTCCATTTAAGGGTCCTTTCTACATTTTATGATCTTATTCCTAGGGCTTCGGGGGAATTTGTGAAGCTTTGAGAGTGGAGTCAAAAATGACTGTCATGTACACTGGAACTGATTAAAAATTGAAATTATTCAGTGTTAGTACTGACTACATTTAAGCGGATTTTCAGAACTTCATGACAGATCTTTAGACATGGAAGTAAAGGTGAAATGTAGATTGCAAAAAACTATTGGATAAACAGTGAGAATGAAGCTTTATTGAAAGCACATAAGCAGTTAAGAATTCACAGTTGTGGGTGTTAAAATGCCCATACAGTGATCACACATCAGGCTTATTTTTCCTCACAACCAGCATGTTGTCCAAACTTTATGTTTGGACACCAGTAGCTTATTATTAATGGTTACTACCAAGTATCAACTGCTAATAAGTATTAGAACTTGATAGTTGTTGAGTTGGTGCTTTTAACCATTGCACCTTTTTGTGTGTTTCTAATCTAGGTTCTTTATGATTATTATATATGTTGTCATTTAGTTTTCTCTTTAAAAAATGTTGACAAAATGCATCACATTGTACTTTAGCAATTTTCTCATTATTGATGAGGAACATTCTTGAAAATATTTTAAATTACTTAATATTGTCGTTTTTACAGTTAATTATTTGCATTTGTGCATGAAACATATGTGCACACATAGCGCAGTACACATTTGGAAGACAGAACAAGTTGTAAGAGTTAGTTCCCTCCTTCTACCACAATGGTCACAGGGCTCACCTCAGGCCTTCAGGCTGACAGCAAGTACCTTTACCCACTAAGTCATCCCACTAACCCCGTGTTAATGTTAAAATAGACTTGCCTAAAAGTAGCACATGTGCATTATGGATATTTTAAAATCTTGGTGAAACGTTCATTTCACAAACTTGATTACAATTATAATGAATGACTTGCCTCAAGACTTTGTATACTTAGATCCTTTGGGTTATCAGGAAAGTCAGCTTCGGGGAGATGGAGTGTGGGGGTTTGAATAAGAATGGCCCCTGCCGGCTCATGTATGAATGCTTTGTCATCAGTTGGTAAACTGGGAAGGAGGAGGAGGTGTTACCTTGTTGGGGCAGGTGTTGCCTTGGAGGAGGATATCACTAGGAGTGGACTGTAAGCTTTCAAAAGCCCACACCAGGCCTAGTGCCTCCTCTCTTCCTGCTCATCAAGATGTAGCTCTTAACTACTTCTCCAGCATCATGCATAGGCTTCCATGTTCCCCCCAAGATAATAAGGAACCAACCTTCTGAAAACTGTAAACAAGATTGCAATTAAATGCTTTCTTTTAGAAGAGGTGCCTTGATCATGGTGTCTCTTCACAGCAGTAGAACAATGACCAAGACAGATATCTACGTTCCTTTTCACCTTTCTGTTATCTGGAAAATCCTGTTTCTGCCTCCTGACCTAAAATTTCCTTAGTTTACCCATCTATCTGCATCTCAGCAAGCAGAAGAAAATTAGTCATTCCCTTTTAAAGCATATTTTCCAAAAATTGTACATACCACTTTTATCTTTATCTTCTGGCCAGATCTTACACAGTATGACAAAAACTGAGAAGTGGAGTTTTTTATGCTCTGGGCCTTCCCCCCACTCCATAAAAGAAATTGGGGTTCTCTTGTTGATAGGTAGGCCTTAGTGTCGGTTTATGTACAGCCAGCCTTTTAGACTTATAGCGAGGAATTACTTTCATAGCCATGTGTTCTTTTATACATATTTTTTATTGCAGTTTAAGTGTTGCATTCTTTTTCCTATATCCTGTTATCAATAGGGTCAGTATCAAAGCAATATAAGAGAATCAAGCCAGTCAGGTTCCCATTCTGGCAGTCATTCCTACCAATGATGAAGTGACATCTTTCTTGTGATAATGTATATTCACATTAAAATGAAAAAAAGAATCAAATTCAAAGGATTGTTACTAGGAGTAAATAATTGACAGATGAATCTATAAAAGCCCTTTGTATATAATAAGCCCACAAATGTTGGTCATCATTACTTTCAGTTGGCAGATTCTTAATCAAAGTGGTTTTGATATAAGTAAAGCATTAACTGTGAAAGTTAACTTACTAATTAATATTAACACTTTCACTGTAGTAGATGATAAGTAATGGGATCATTTGAGTCTAAATTTGCTCATTTATTTGTGGAGTGTTAGAATATATATTTAAATATACACTCATTCACCAATTCATTTTCTTCTGTTGCCTTTTAAAGTCCATTCAAATGCCAGAGTGTAAAAGGACTGTTTTGCAGTCAAGGGAATAGTGAAACTATTAGAGAATAAATTTGTATCCACATAAAGTTACCTGTCTTTAAGCAAGACCTCTGGACAAAGCTCTGCTTACTTAATGTAACATTCTAGTATGCAGGCCTCCATTCCTGAGTTTAGCTAAGTGCTTCTTTGTGTTTTGTTTTGTGAGATACTGTACACACATAATTCTTAAAGCAGTGGGCAGGCATTACTGAAGTTTTGTGTTTGTGTCTCTGACTACACTGCAGGGAAAGCGTGTCTTGTTTCTCTTTTTACCTTCTGTGTTCTACATTCTATCAGAAGAGAAGGACTGTCGCACTCAACAACAATATTGAAGAAATTTCTATTTTAAATATCATGTCAGAAAATCAGCAATTTTTGATGATGGCTTTACATTATTCTCTAAATTTGGTCAGCTGCAACAAAATGTTAGGAAAGTCCTAATTTCCAAAATAAACTGTGACTCCTTGAAAGTTTTGAGACATGCTGCTAAAACGCCGCTTAAAAGCTGAGTTTCCTAGGTCTCTCAAGTTTGTACCTTCTCTGTGTGTTTTCCTGATTCTCACTCTTCAGAGCAGTAGACGTAATTGTGTGTTTCTGGATTATGGAAGCTCTATTGAGCAGCTCATTTAGTTAATTCATGAAACTTGGGAGTAAAATGAGGTGATAAATTGTCCTTTTAAGGACAAGTGCTTACTTTTCTAAATGACAGTGTGCCAGAGATCATATTATGCATGTTTATATGTGAATCTCTACTTCATTAATCTGTGTGTGTGTATGCTTATCCTTCTGATGGCAGTGAATTTCATGTAGGGTTATTGTCCTTTTAAAGAGAAACTACGTCAATGGTGACTAGAATGCATTCAATCCCAGTATTACATTTGAATGTAGCCTTAAAAATGAAGTATCAGAGTTAAATGAATGCATTCCTGTCTTTCAGTGAGCTCCAATAATGGCCACTGTAGCCAAACACACACTCTGGTGTGAAAATTGTAACTGAACTATAGCGTGTTTTCTGCATGGTCTTTGTAGCATGTATGATACTGTTGTCTTCAAATTTTTTAAATGCAAAGCCTTCAAGGAGAGCAACTTAGAGCAGACAATTTGTTACTGTTCTCACAAGCCTTAGTATTTTCCCTTTCTATTCATAAATAATTTTTAAACTCTAAATGAAGTACAATTAGAATGATATTAGTAATAATAATAGCCTAGGATGTCTTCTTTGAATTTCTTTATTTAAATATGACAGTATAAAACCACATTGACTTAAATTTTTAAAAAATGAAAAGGCTTGTACTAATTTTACATTATAAAATTTTAGTTATTGTTGGATTCAAAGTTAAATCTATTTCCTCAAAGTTTTATTTTTGACAAAAGTCTAGAGAAAAATTCCAACTGTTTGACTACACTTTAAAAACTCATTTAATATGTTTTCAGAACCAGAGTTCCCATGATGCCTTTACAGTACAGATAGAATCACACGTGTTTGCATTTGCTCTCATCATTGTGATCTTACGGCATGGGAACTAAGATGAACTTTCAAAGTTTTTTTCAGGTTTCAGAGATAATATGCTTTGAGTTAAAGATAAACTTTTTAGTTTTAAAAACTATACAGTGCTTAAAAATTTTTTTCTTTACCCTACTTACCCCTGCCCTTTTTTCTTGTCAAATAGCTTCATAATCTTTAAATTCTTCTTTTCTTGTCTATTTAAAGGTCGTTTGAGCTATCCACATCCAGGAACTGACAATCTGTTGATGTTAAATGGTAAGTTTTACCAAAAATTTTATGTTTCCATTTGGTTCATACAAATGAAGATGATTTAATATGTATTCTCCTGAACCTTCCTCCATGTAGATAGTTCAGTTGTGTCGTAAAAATAAAACAGTGTTCAGGTATGGCTATACTCACCTGTAGCCCCAGCTCTGTGGGATGCTGGAATGAGCATCATGTGACCCATCAAATACAGACCATCCTGGGTAGCAGAGTGGAGGCACATCTTATAAAAACATGAAGCTGCAGGATTAAGAATCTGCATGTTTTGTCCCAGAAGACAGTAGTCATTGAGAAGTGTATTGTGACAGTATAATTCAACCACTCCATCCTCGGGAGCAATCCTTGTTGGGATGATGGGGTTCTATTTCAAGTTGTGACCTAAGACCAAGTTCTTAGTTTCCTGTTTCTTACTCTGTAAACTGGAGATAAAGACAACTTCTAAGGACTAAATAAGATAAAGTTTGCAAAGTACTCAGTATAAGCACTTGTGTTTGTTTTAAGGAATATAACGGTGAATTTATAAATGTAGTAATCACGCTGATTTAACTTATTGTAACTTTCCAATTAGAAGTTCATCAGTCAGAAAAGTAAAACTTTGATTAAAATGTTTATCTTGACATTGGACAAATATAAATATGTTTATAGTCACAAGATTAGCATAAGCATGATTATGGGAGTGGAGATGAGGGGGAAAGTCCTTTTAAAGAGGAATCTTGAATAACAATCAAGGAGAGGCAAAGAAGAGGGATACCTGTAAATAATACATGCTCAAAATTGCATCATTACGTTGGCTTGGGTCCTTTCCACTTAGAGCTTTATTGAAATAGGATGTAATAAAGGTGTGTGAGCAAATCTGAAAGTGAGGTCACTGTGAAGTCAGGCCGTGTACACAATCACTGAAAAGACAGAGGGTAGAAAGGAAGCCTGTTGCCTGAGGAGTGTCAGGGGAGTCAGGATTTTGGAATGAGAAAATACTGAAACACAGTGATAGGGAAGGCGATGGTTGATCACAACCTGAGTATAATGCCTTGGGTTGCCAGACACATGGCAGGCCGGGTCTAACCTAGTCTAAACATGTAGCCGACTGGTCTAAGCACTGGGACTTTGAGTAGAGCGATGATGTTGGAAATGTTATTCAAAGACCACTTCTAGTCCTTGGTTCTCAGTCTATGGCCAACATGGTGCTGTTGAAACTGAATGTCATTACAAAATAGCTTATTGTTAATGTTCACATTTGATTTGTGAAATAGGATAGGCTTAGGTAACAGTAAACTATATATGGATTCACTCCACTTAAATGTTCTATGTAGAAAATAAACATAAATAACTTTTTTATTCTAATGTCTGAAAAAATCACTGAAGTTTCCCATTTTTCATGTGTCAAAATACATTTGAAAGAAGTACCCTGCAAAAATGTGTAAGTTGTATTATTTACAGCTCGTCTTACGTTGTTGACTGAAGAGTAACCCAGGTGGTTATGATAGAATGCCAGTCATGTAAGCAAGGAACTTAGAAAGGCACAATGGTTTTGCAGTTTATGATGTTGTTGTTGTTGTTTTGCTAGGTTATTAATCAGTTGCTTTTGTAAACTGCCTGAAGTTTTATAAATGTTGACTAAATTATGCTTCTTCATAAATAAGATATGAAAATATTTTATTTCAGGCAAGTTACATCTAGTAGAAAATATATTTATTTTATTCTTCAATATGAGCACTCTTTAATTGTCTGCATTTGCGGTGATGGTGCCTACTTGGCAAAGAAAGACAACTTGGGGGTTTTATACTTTTTTAGTAAGGAATGAGGGAAGCCAAAAGAAGGTATTGACTCTAGGGTGTCAACAAATACTCAGGTCAGGACAAGAGCTTTACTCCAGTGAGAAGCATGTCCTTTTTTATTCCCTGGGGACAGACAGTTAAGAGGTGAAAGAAGATGCACTTAATTGGGTACATCCATGGGGTGAGGTAAGGAAGTCTTATAGAGTGAGGCATCAAGGATACTAAGGATACTGAACAAAGGCAGTTAACAGCACTTGATAAGGAGAAATGCAGCTTAGATACGTTTAGCATGGTATGTTCCCTGGAATCCAAAGAATTAAGTGATGGCAATACAAGGTTCTTCCTACAGTAAGTAGTTTTTAAACATTACTGACTGCTGGTGGAACATCTTATGTCATAGATTGAACTCACTGTGGGGTAGTCTGTTAAGTAGGTTGCTTCACCATTATTATTGTTGTAAGCATAACTAATACTGTTCACTTTCAAGATCAGTTTTGAGTACTACATTTTACATCACTGTGCTATGTGAGGTGTGTGGGTATCCTCACAGACTCTAAAGCTAGCTTACCTTTCTGTACAACCTGGAACAACATGCCAAACTTGACCCTGACTTTATTTCTTAATACCTAAGCCAGAGCATACTTCTTGCCGCAGGGGACTGTTGAGAGGAGTGAGTGAATTCATGCACGTATTTAGAACAGCTTCTGTGAGTAAGTATTAGCTGGAGAGAGTGAGTAGTGGAAATCAGTGCAAAGATCATCAGTTAAAGTCGGGTCCTTCAAACAGAGGAGGAGCTAGCTGGGCAAGTGCTTCAGATAGCATGACAGGAAGAGACCACATACGTGATGTTTTCAGCTATTGCATATGATGAGCAGGAAACTTGTTTTATTATTGCAGGAAACCAATAGGAAAGACGCTGCATTAGAAATTGTAAGGGAAGCCGGGCGGTGGTGGCGCACGCCTTTAATCCCAGCACTTGGGAGGCAGAGGCAGGCAGATCTCTGTGAGTTCGAGACCAGCCTGGTCTACAAGAGCTAGTTCCAGGACAGACTCCAAAACCACAGAGAAACCCTGTCTCGAAAAACCAAAAAAAAAAAAAAAAAAAAAAAGAAAAAGAAAAAGAAATTGTAAGGGAAAAGTTTGGGTCCCTTGTTTTCTGCAGTGTAGGATCTTTCTTCCATGGAGTACACAGAATAAAGTTCAGTGATGCAGACATATTATAACTAAGCAAATGCATGACTGTTGCAGTTAAGAGCATTTTTGAGAAAATCTATATATCTGACAGAAATAAATGATTACAGTGATATTAGGCCTGAATATCTTTAATTAAGCATAGTTATGATATAAATAATAGTAACATAATGCCAATAAGATATACTAACATTAGAAAGGCCTTATAATTCCTCCTTATGAGTTGTAGTTAAAGCTTTCAGATAAAGGTTTAAATAAATCTGGGGGTAGGAAGTCAACCAGGATGGTGATCACATGGCCTAGCATTCGGGAGAGCCTCTGCTGAACTTATAACTCTAAGCTTCTGCTATTCAGATGCCCCTTAATATAAGATACAGCTACACATGCACACCCACTTAGCTCATGGAGTTATATGGACTAAAAAAAAATTTTAACATAAAATGCCATATAAGGTGGAACATTAATTGTGGCACTCAAGAGGTAGAGAGTAGCAGATCTGTCAGCTGGAGATCAGCCTGGTCTACATAGCAACTTCCACCTAACCAGGACTGCATAGTGAGACCTTGCCTCAAAAGAAAAAACAAAAAAACACGGAATATAAATGTAACCACAGAGGGGCTCCTGTTCCTAAATAAACCATATTCCTCAGGTATGTTTGGAATCAAGTGGACTTGATGTAGAGACTGCAGTTATTGGTTATTGTAAGTCACTGTTATTGTAAGTCTCTGATATGTGCCCACAGTTAGTGTTCATCGGCTTTTTAAGAAAGTCACATTATATGCAGGTATAGACTGTTTAAAAACCCAATTTTAAATCATTAGAATGATAGTTCGTTTACATATCTGAGTGTATAAACCTAGCACATATAGTATCAGGAGAAAAAAGTAAAGTCAGTGCCAGAAATCTGTGTGTTTTCTGCAGTATAATGAAAAATACAAGGTTCTGTATGTCAAATATTTGTCTCTATTTGGATTGAATTGCATTTTCCCCACTTTTCCCAAAGAAAATAACATATTTTTATTAGTACCCTCTCACAAGAGGGGGGAACCAACAGAGTAAAGTATCATGTGAGGGAAAAGGTATTAGCAAACTAGTTTGGACTTTAAATTTGCATGTGTTATCATATATACAACCACCTATGTGATCAGAGTTTGTTTTATTTTTGGAGTGAAATGAATTATTGGGTATCTTTTAATTAAGGAAATGTACCCAAGGTTGGCATGCTGGTGCATGCCCATCATCCTAGCACTTGGGAGGTTGAGGCTGGAGAATCCTTCCTCAACTGTGTAGTGAATTTGAAGCCAGCTTGGGCTAGATGAGACCCCATCTCAAAAGACAAGACTGTTATTGATCCTATACTTCTAAAGACAGATGCTCCAAATATGCTGTATCAATTTATGGAGCTAGGAAACCAAGGAGGATGAAGGGAGTGGATGAAGATGTGGGGTTTTGAAAGGACTGTTATTTGAGTCATAGGTTTTGTGTGTGTGTGCATTTAGTTTTGCCTTCTTTATGCTGGAGAAATGATACTTTTGTTTCTCACCAAAAAGAACATTAACATATTTCTAGTTGATTTTGTCTTTTTTTCCTATGCTACCTTTTAGCTAAAGTAATTTAGCTATAGAGTTGAGAACCAGTACTTAAGAACAGACATCCCTAAACAGAGTATAAAAACCATTACTGTGGCTAGAACCTGAATTAGATCATTGCTAATCCTTCCTAAATTTTACAGTCACTTGTATAGATGACTTCAAGCTACTTCTGAGCCTCCTTTATACATTGAGAAAGCATCAGTAATATAGGTATATGTTTGTATTAAATGTTCCTACATGACAAAATAGGCAATTCTTCGCTTTTTAATCTGTTACATTTTTAGTCGCGAAGAATTAGAAGAGGTTATCAAAAACCTCCCTACCAAAAAAAGCCCAGGACCAGATGGTTTCAATGCGGAATTCTACCAGAACTTCCAAGAAGACCTAATACCTATACTCCTTAATGTATTTCACAATATAGAAACAGAAGAGTCATTGCCAAATTCCTTTTATGAAGCTACAGTTACTCTGATACCAAAACCGCACAAAGACTCAACCAAGAAAGAAAATTATAGACCAATCTCACTCATGAACATCGATGCAAAAATCCTCAACAAAATACTGGCAAACCGAATCCAAGAACACATTAGGAAAATTATCCATTATGATCAAGTAGGCTTCATCCCAGGGATGCAGGGCTGGTTCAACATACGAAAATCTATCAATGTAATCCAGCATATAAATAAACTGAAAGAAAAAAACCATATGATCATTTCATTAGATGCTGAAAAAGCATTTGACAAAATTCAACACCCCTTTATGATAAAAGTATTGGAGAGATTAGGGATACAAGGGTCATACCTAAATATAATAAAAGCTATATACAGCAAGCCGACAGCTAACATTAAATTAAATGGAGAGAAACTTAAAGCCATCCCACTAAACTCAGGAACACGACAAGGCTGTCCACTCTCGCCATACCTCTTCAATATAGTACTTGAAGTTCTAGCAATAGCAATAAGACAACATAAGGGGATCAAAGGGATTCGAATTGGAAAGGAAGAAGTTAAACTTTCGTTATTTGCAGATGATATGATAGTGTACATAAGCGACCCCAAAAACTCCACCAAAGAACTTTTACAGCTGATAAACACCTTTAGTAATGTGGCAGGATACAAGATAAACTCCAAAAAATCAGTCGCCCTCTTATACACAAAGGATATGGAAGCAGAGAGGGAAATCAGAGAAGCTTCACCTTTCACAATATAAATTATTTTTATAAAAAAATTAAAAGAGTAAATCATTACCCTTTCCCATTTTAAACCATTTTTATTTTGAGGTTCTGACTGTTCAGTGAAGGCTTTTTTGTTTGTTATTTTGATAGTATTCTTTTTACATACCAATCCCAGTTTCCCCTCCCTCCACTCCTCCTGTTTTCCCCACTTTCCCCCCCACCCCACCCCACCCATCTTCTCAAAAGTGAGGATAAGGCCTCCCCTGAGGAAGTCAACTAAATATGTACCATCACCTCATTGAGGGAGGACCAGCTCCCTCCCCCACCTCCAGTACCTAGGCTGAGCAAGATCTCTCCATAGAGAATGGGCTCCAGAAAGTCCATTTATGCATTAGAGTTAGATCCTGATCCCACTGCCAGTTGTCTCATATACTATCCAAGACACACCATTGACACCTGTATTCAGGGGGCCTAGTTGTTAGTCGGGGTTCAGTAATCTTCCAGTAGCTCTTGTCAGTTGATTCTGTGGATTTCCTCTTCGTGATTTTGACCTCTTTGTTATTATTGCTCCTCCCTCACTTCGATTGTGCTCCTGGAGCTCAGCCCAGTGCTTACTTGTGGATGTATATCTGCATCTTGGCTCACTCGTTAAAGGCTAGGCTCACAACCAAAGAAGGCTTTTTTAAATCATAATATTCATGTGGACTGTTTTTGGTAGAGTTACTTGACTATTCTGCTGCAGAGTTATGCTGAAACAAACCCCAGAACTCCACAGAGAAACATTATTAGAAACGTGTGTTAGACACATCATGTTCAGTACAGCGGTAGCAAAATGGTGATTTCCATGATAGGGTAGAAAATGTTTTGCATAGTTTAACTTCATTTGTAGTCAATTCTCTCTTATTCATCTCCCCACACCATGCATGTGAGTGTCAGGGTGTGGGGGCTCTGTGTATGCCATATTGTCCCTGTGGAAGTCAGGACAAAGGCCAGGAGGTGTTCTCTTCCAGGTTGGGTTCCCAGGATTGAACCCAGGCCTTCTGGCTTACATGGCAAGTGCCTTAACCCACTAGACAGACTTCTGGTTATAGTGATATAGAAACTTCAAATCTGAGAGTTGTCCAGATTCAGAAATTCCTTTGGTGTGAGATAATTGGGAAATTTTTCTAAATGACTAAGCTCAAATCCAGGAATGGCATGAAACTTAAGCTGCTATAAATATTTTTATGTTTTCACTATTTTAGTATTGAGAAGCCCCATCTAAGAGTGTGAAAGTTAAAAACATTAGCAGGATTAGTGTTGCATTACTAGGTTGGGAATTATTTTCCACATTCTGACTTCATCACAATTTATAGTTTGATTTCAAACTTGTTGAAAATAGTTTCATTTGTTTTATGAATCTTGGATTTCTGAATCATTGTTGAAATTCTCCAAAGTAAACTTAACTTGATTAATATTATTGGCCCACCCCGAGAAAAAGCAAAAAAACCCAGCTCCCGAGATTTTGCTGTGCAACATCTATGCTATGTTGTGGGGCCCATTGATCACTTGAAGGCTTAATATAACTGTTAAGAATTAAAGAATTTCATTCTCCTTCACTTAATAGCTCTGTTTAAATTCTGTTTTTCAACCTGATCTTCTACATTTAGTTTCTCATTAGGATGAAGCTATTTTAGAAGCCTGTTTCCATCTTAAGAATTGATAATAAAATTCTAAAAGTGTTGTCTACCTTTACTCTCACAGTAAAATGACACATATGTCATAAGGTGTGCACATAAGGTGTGCACATAAGGTGTGCAGCAAATCTGTAGACTTTGAGTCCATGTGCACTCAACAGCAGATTGAGTGTACACCATAATGACAGAGATAAAGCTCGTTAGCTTCCTTAAAAGAATGGTAGATGCCTTCTGCTTATTGACTTATTTCTTAGAAATAGAAATGATAATAGCTGACATGTTTGGCCTGCACTATTCATTATTAGAGAATTTATGTCATATTGGCATATGGTAGCATTTCTTTATAGCAAAGTTCAAGATATATTCTTTTAAACTTTATACAACACAGTACATACTTAGTGTGTCAAATACAACTTTTGACCTTTAAGTTTTATACTTTAGAGAGAGGATATTTCTGGCAATTTCTAATAAAAATTGTGAATTGAGGTATGTTTTTTTTTCAGTATTGAAATTTTCTTGCTTCCTAATCTATAAACATAAATTAAAACTTCAGTCTTATAGCATTCATTTTATTTTGTTTATTGTTTGCTTTATATAAATTATTAAGTAAAACATTCATTGTATGCACTGATTGAAGGGAAAGATTTTCTCAACATTGGTAATTTCTTATGAAAGAGAAATCATATTTGTACACTATCCACAGGGATAATGTAAACTATCAGTTCCTTTCTACTTCATATTGCTAGTATTTATCATTCTGTGAGGGTCGTATTCTTAATTAGCACTAGAATTCCTTTTACGCAGAGGCAGGCACATAGTCAGTTGCTCTTATAAAATTTGTCAGAAGACTAGAAAGTGTCATTTATGTCATTTGCTGCAGTCTCTTACTGCTTCCCTAAGCATCTTTGAACTCAGTTTTGATTACAGGACTTAGACTTCTATCTCAGTAATTATGACTCTTAACAATCTATATCTTCTGGTCCTCCCTCAATCAGGGTGCAGCAGGTGGATTCTACATAGGTGATGAACAATATGTATCATACAACTTTTTATCAAAAGAAAATGGGAATTTAATTCAAGATAGTTTCATTCATTGAGAAAGTGATTTGGGAATTTAGCTGTAAATTGTTATGCCTTTCTGTAATGATGAGATGAAACAAGTACTTGTGAGTTTTAAATGTGAACTAGGATAAATTTTACAGCTTTGGATGACTCAGATTGCATGTGTACAAAATATTTATAAAAGGATATATCTGACATATCACATGTATGTCTGTATTTATGTATAATTATAATGATAAAATATGCACATTTTAATTGCTGACATTCTCATGTCTTAAAATAGAGTATCTAAATGCCCACATGACTTTTCATATCATGGTATTTGTATGTGTGGGCTTATTTTTAGTTCTAACATTTTACAATTTGTCCTTTGTTTGCATGCAGCAAGGAGTTATGGGCGAAGACGAGGTAATTCATTTCTGTTTGCTATAGTTCATCTGTTTTTAATCGAGCTGTATTGATCAATGTCATAATTACTGATTTCAGAATTCTTTATGCAATGTCTGAAATCTCCTAGAAGAATCACATATTGTTGTGAGAACTTACCAACTTTTCAGATTCTAACTCTTAACCTACAATGGTGTATTTTCATACTAATGGTCATTAAATAAAATTTATCCTCCTTAAACTGTCAAAATTTTTAACTCTTATTAAAAATTATATCTATATCTTCTAAAATAAAGTTGTTTTATCTGCCTAAGAAATAAGTTTTTTAGTATTAACCAGAGTGACATGTGATGTGATTTTTCTACTGTATAACCAATTGTCTTATCAGTCATTGTGATTTTTGTTTGATCCAGTTGGAAATGACACCTGTGTAAGTAGATACTGTCATTGGCAGAAACCACATAGCCAATGTTTCCGTGAAGCTGTGATCCTGTCATCCCCTTTGTCTAGCCTGCACACCACTGTCCTTTTCCACCTCCTCCGTCATAACAGGATTTCCTTGAGCATTTTTTTGGGGGCCAAGGGACGAGACTATAGTATGGGGCTACCACTGAACTCGCTCAGAACACAGGAACACCTTCTGTGACGGAAACTTTGCCCAAGCCAATATGTAAAGAAGCAAAATTACCTGATATTTCTATAGTTCTGCACACTGAATAAAAAGTATTTGCTCTCACCTCTAGAATTTTCCTGAAGCCAAGGAAGATAGACAGTAATAGCTGTGTCCTTGGTTATAATTTACACGTGTGTGGTAGTGTCCTTATCTGTTGACCAGCACCTTCCCTAAAAACACAAAAGGAAAACCCATTACCATCACTGATAACCAATGCTAATACTTCATGTTCACAAGCAGTAATTCAAATTCCACATTTCAATTTTATTGCTAGAGTCTTGACTCTCCAAATACTTGACTGAATCTCTGGATTCTTCACTTTTCAAAAAACTGGAAGAGAGTGAGGCTGATTTACTTTCTAAAGGCTGTTCATAGGGAGCTGAGAAGAAAGTGGGAAGGTTACAGTGTTCATAACAATTTTTACATCTGTGACCTAGTTCACTTCACAATCAAGTGTGGAACTTTGATTGTCTTGAAAATAACTATCTACCAATCTGTGATTTTTCAGTAATTCCTTTCATGTCTGAAACATTTTTCCTTTATCTCTAGTAACTTGTCAGTTGGGCATACTCTGTATAAATATCATATGCTAAATTTTTAAAGGCAAGGTATCAGGGTCAGGGATTTTCTTATTATAACTCATCTCAGTAACTGCAGACTATGACCCAAAGAAGGAAAACGGACATTTAATTCCTTGCTGCTCTGATAGAGACCTGCCTAGATGTGTGTCTCCTTAGGGAGCTGTGAAGAGAGGTGCCCCATTTCAGAGCCACCTAGGCACACCACAGGCAGGTGTAAACTTCATGTCCTCTCCTTGTCCTGAGCTGGCAGCCTCTGCATACAGCTGGTGCAGTAGAAAGGGAGCTGCAGCCTTTTCCCTCAGGTTGTGATCACAGCTGTAATAGAGCATAAATCTGCTGCCACAGTTCAGTTTGAATGGCCAGATAGAAAGGTTTAGTCTTGAAGTCTAGCTGCTGTAAGATTTTATTTGTATTTGGTAATAGCTAGCTTGGTAAATAATAGAAATATTTTACAAGAAAAACCTACATATCAGAAGAACAGCACAGAAAGAAGTAGAGATGCTTCCCTAGCTGTCTTTCTATTTTCTCTTCATTTTCCCCTCATGCTGATACAGGACCAATCTCTAAACCTAGCCAACCAGGAATCCCCTATTATGAACTTGTGCTGTGGATTTGATGGGCTAGTAAAATGGTGTATGTTCATTTTGGTCTTTCTTTTTTGTTAGAATAAATAAAGCGTCTCTGTTCTTGAGGGATGTGTCAAAATGAGTTGGCACGATTGGCCAAAACCAAGTCCTGGTTGGCACCAGCACATTGGGGGTGGGGCAGCATCAAATGTCAGAGGGCAGTCTGGCTTCCAGTAGCCATTTGATTTTAGAAAGAACTGGTTTCTTCCTTCCACCTTTGATTGACCTTCTAGTGAAGCATAGGGCAGCACTTTTTATTTTAAAGACTTCCCACTTGACTATAGTAAAGCTAAATTACTACCAAATGTCTTTGATATATTTCCAGTTCCTTAATAGTGTCAATAAGAACTTTACATCAAGCCGGCTCTAGATATTGATTTATGAAATAAGCCTTAGAGATGATCAAAGTATAATTATACCAGAAGTAATCTAGCAAAACCAAGATTCCTTTCTCTGAATGTCAGGAGCCTGGGGCCATGGGAAGCTCTGCAGCATTAAGAAAGAGCAGGGCACATGGAAACTACTTGACATCAGGAAAATTGCTTTTCTTTTGTAGTTACTATTCTCTTCAGTGTTTTTTCCATCCCCCTCTGAGAATGAGCATACTGGTCTGGGATGGAATATGGTCGGGATTGTGCTAAACATGTATAGGACTAGTTAAACTCTGTCATTCAGAATTTTCTACTTCTGTCATAATCCCTCCTTTTTATTATTATTAATTAAATTTATTCATTTATTTTGCATCCTAAACCCCTACCGCAGTTTCCCCCCTATTCCCTCCTCCAAGACCCCCCCCCCCAGTCCACTCCTCCTCGTTTCTGCTCATAAAGGGGCAGACCTCCCATGGGTGTCAACAAAGCATGGCATATCAAGTTGAGGTAGGACTAAGCTCCTTGCCTTGCTTGGCAAGGCAACCCAGTATAAGAATAGGTTCCTGGAAACCAGCCAAAGAGTTAGGACAATTCCTCTTTCTAATAGAAGAATAAACAGCTATTGTTTTCCAGAAAGAAAAAAAAACGATATAGGATAGTTTGAATAGTAGAAATAAAGAACTTATTTTAATTAATTTACTAAGCTTCAGGAAGCATTTTTTTCTTTAGAAATTAATCCCAAAGTTGGTAGCTTGCATATGGAATGAGAGGATATAAGAAATAATGTTAGAGGGAGTGAGTTTTGGAAGTTGCTGAGGTTTGGTATGTTCACAGTGTGGAGCCAATCCGGTGCCACTGTTCATAACTGACAGTTTAATATAGAAGGCATTGCTTATTTAAAGTTGAACTGGAATGGAAAATGTGTGTGTTCATGCCCTACCTTCCCACATCTTTGATAAGTAATTATAATAGTTATCAGAGAAAGGACAGGAGTCCCTAAAGCATGAAAAAACATCCCTGTAGTAGCTGTCTAGAAGGATGCCCTGCCTTGGCCTGAGGGCACAGCCTCCTGTGTTTCTGCAGTGTTTAGATTTGACAGCAGCACTGGCATTATCTACTATTTTTGTTTGTTTGTCTTGTTTAGTTTGTTTCCTACTTTGGTCACCCTGGAGCTACATGATAGTGGAGTTGAATTGTAGTAGAGTATACTGTCTGTAAAATGTAATTTACAGCTCCAAAGAGGCTGTTCTACAAGCTGTACCCTGCCAAACCAATTTTTAAAGAAAACAAAATTCTAGTGTACTTAATTTTAAGGCAAGTAAGAAAGGGGGCAAACTATTATTGGGGCAAAATATCTTAAAATAATCATTGTACATTAAGTAGTAGATTTTTGTCCTTCTTTGAAGAAACATACCAGTTAAAGGACTGGTTGCTCGAATTGGCAGTACTCAAAAGTACTGATAAAAGGATGCTCAACTTACTAGACCTGGATGGAGGTGGGGGGTTCCTTGGACTTCCCACAGGACAGGGACCCCTGATTGCTTTTCGGGCTGGGGAGGGACTTAATTGGGAGAGGGGGAGGGAAATGGGAGGCGGTGGCGGGGAAGAGACAGAAATCTTTAATAAATAAATAATTTTTTTTTAAAAAAAGGAAACTTGCATCACACTAGAGGGTATTTACTGCTGCCATCCTAGAAGATAGAAAGAATATTCAGATTCCCATTAATTTTAAATTTCTGTGCTTTCGTATTTTTAAAATTTCACAACATTCTATAAATAAGATTATGGAACAATCTATAAAAGTCAAAGAATCGTGCTTAGAGTCAATCTATAAATTGATTGATTTGTACAGCTATCTCCTCATTGATATGTTGAGAAATGTCTATTCTTACATTCTAGAATAAATTCAAAATCTGAAAAATCAAGTAGAACCAAACCTGAGTATGTTAGCAAAGCATCAGCATCAGCTTCCCTGCCGTGCGCATATGTGTTGCGCACACACTGCCCACACAGGTGGATGAGATGGGAGCAGGGAGACGGCCATCAACATTAGTACCAATATCATTGAGCATCCAGCTTGCATTTTCCTAATAAGAATGATAAACTTGGAGTATATTTTCATATACTTATATTTTTAAATCAATGATCTATATATTATTACTCTTTCAAGTAAGTATTAAAATTCATTGTTTTATGACCTTTTGAGAGAAAGCAATCATTGTTTTCTAAAAATGAAGATTCTTATGAGTGTGGCCAGTATGTGAAATATTCTCAGCCATTCTGTTGCTTCCTTTGTTCATTGGAGCTTTAGTTAATGGATTGTACATTCTGTACACAGTTAGAGCAACACAACACTTAGTTACTGAGTGAATGGTAAGGTTGCAGCGCATTTACCATGAAGTATATGTACCATGTTATAGTTAGGAAATATCTTAAGTCACTTTGGGTCACCTCTTATTACTGTTTAGATTCTAAATATTTGTGATCTGTGTTTTTTCCCAAGAAAATTCTTTTATAATTTTTTATTATATTTATGGATTGCTAATTTTGTATAAAAATACTTCAAAATGATACTGTGTGCAAAATATTAGCATGTCTTAAGTTCAGTCCAGCATTTGGACAGTCATCTTAATTTCCCTAAAATCTAAGCAATTGTTCCCCTACTCATCTAACTCTTTTTAACATATAAAATTATTCAATTAAAGTAAGGTAAGTTGAGTGATTAATTCACAGTTTATTAATATTTAATGGATATTGTTGGTGGTCATTTTATTGAGGGAAAAAAAGGAAGGATGAAGGGAAGGAGGGAGGAAAAAAGGGCAGATGGAGAGAGGGAAGAAAGGGAGGGAGGGAGACAGACAAGATGAGTACTCTTAGTCAGAAAATTCAAATTCTAAGAAATAACAAAACAAGAACCATTCCTTGCCCAAGTAGGTCTCTTTCAGAACGTCTTGTTTCAATTGAAATCATCTGTGGAGTAGTTCCTGTTTCCTGGAGGTTCTTTCTTCCTGTTGTTATAGCTTATAAATTTTACATAGTTATATCCAACATATTTCTAGTTAGTGTCTGCAGCAAATACAGTTCTCACCTCAAAAGGAGAATGAGATAGTTTATTTAGGAACCAAATATGAATGGGCAAAGCCCAGGAACACTAATTGAGATTGCCTCGACTGGTATGGGCTAGTGTGGGAGACCTTATATGGCTTTCATAGTCACAGAACTAAGGAAGTCAAGTAAATTGGTGGCAGTAATCAGGCAGTGGTATTTTGTAGGGGTACAGGAATGTTCACCTACTGAGGGGTGAACTTTAGACAGGTGGCACAATTGGATTAACTTGTTTATGTTTTGGGTATCTTGGAGGTAGTTTTTCACCCAGGCCAGAGATTCCATCTTCTTGACAAGAAGAAACTAGTTTTCCTTAGTGGGCCTTTACTATTGCTGTGTCAAAAGGTATTTTACAGCAAAGTGAGAGATGTCTGCTGTAGACAGCATCAGATGCTATCTGATGCATATAATTAGTTTAGGTTTGTAGAGCCTATTCCAGCTCTCCATACTCAGTCAGTCAGCTTTGTAGAATCTTTAGCCTGTGTGGCTTTTCCCTCTGGTGACTCCATTTTAGACTGGCTTGTTTATTTTTATAGGTATGTAGCTCTCCCCTTCTTCCCCATCCAATTCTCCACAAGATGCCATAATCCTAACTTGTTTATTTATATCACATCATCCTGAGTCAGATATTTCAAGATGGTAACTTGTTAATCATATTTTAATTAAGCATATATTTCTAGATTTAGGTATATGTTATTAGAGTGTACACTTGTCTCTTTGTTCTAAAAATATATCCTTGATTTAATCTTCAAAGAACAGTTTGTCTGCATTGTTAGCCTTTTCCCTTCTCTAATACATTTCTAAAGACATTTGAAATCTCATTTGATATCTGTATTGTACTGAACATGTACAATATAACATATCACTACATGTGGCAGCCACCCAGCTTCTTAAGATTGCTACCAACAAATGTTGGGATACTCTCAAACAGTTTTTATTTCTTGAAATTATCATATCAATTTGCTTACCTTTTCCTTTTTCCCTCTTGACCTCTCTGATGCTTATGTCATGGTCCTGTTTGGGCTTCTGGCTTTTTTTCTCATCCTTTCTGTAGTGGAAGTTCCATGCCTTCTGTATTTGCCAAGGAGCTGCCCTCCTCATTTTTTCCTAGAATTTTCATCACTGATATTTCCATTCTCTTCCTTGGAAAGCTGTTTACTTGAAAGACAGTTCCCTTTTTTCTCCACTCTGAAGCATTTGAAGCTTTATATGTGGTTTCACCCATGTCCTTTCCTTGTACCTGTATCTGACATTTACTTCTTTATATTCAGTCAATGTGGGACTTTCTTTGGCTACTTCCTGTCCACTGTTGTTTCTCTTTCATTTCTCATCCTTGTTTTCTTGCCTTCCTTGCCTCCCCTAATCTCAGCTGCTTATTTGTCTTCCTCAGTCCTCAGTCAGCATGTCACATTCTTGCTGGGGCTTCTGCACCTAGATGTTTGTTTGCTGGTTTTTTTTTCCCACCTACTCAATAAAATATCGTCTTAAAAGGGTAAATTCTGCTAACCTCTAAGGGCTTTTCCTTTATTATGTCTGGCATGTTTCAGTCAGTTGTTACCTAGTACCCTTGGAGATTGAAGAACTTACCATGGTGTTCAGTACACTACTGCTTCTGCCTAGTCTACTGCCTTTGAAGTATTTGTAGGATTTCTTAGAGATAGAGGCCATCCTTACATGTAGAGTTCTTCTTAGAGATAGATGCCATCCTTACATGTATAGATCTTGCCTTGCCTATGTGTGCATTTCTTGAGGGCAAGGTACGATATTTTATTGTGTGTGAGCATACAGGGCGTCAGCGTTAATTAATAGGGTTAAACAAGACATGCCCTTAAAAGGATGCACTCCTGAAGAGTGGGCTCAGATAGGAACTTAGATGCTGTTCTTTACCTCCCACATGTGCATAAGTCCCCTCTGCATAGTCATATGATTGTCATATGTGATGAATTAAATTACTTCAAGACCTATAGACACATAGGGCTTGCTGCTTACTATAGCATCTTAAGTGGTTTTTTTGGAGTTATTTTGTTGGTGGTGGTGATTTTTTTCTTTCGTACTGTCCTCTTGCCTATTTAACTTACACTGTTTCCTTTTTACCACGAGTGTCTAAAGAATTTAGTTAGACATCAGGCCTATTTCCCATACATTAGGCTCTTTCTGCTATCCATAAACATCTGAAATGAGCTAGCAACTTTATTATCTCTTTTGTGCTGTAGTGATTGTCATGTGACTCTATTTCTTTTGCTTTTGTTGCCGGGGGTGGACAAGCCTCTGTTCCTGACCCACTTCCTCAGCTCAGTGACTGTTTATCTCTAGGCCTTACTTGAGTCACTTCTCTCTTGAACCTTGCTGTTCTGCTGTCTGTATTTCCAGTCATTTCTATGACACTGTCAGCTTAGTGTCTAACCCCTTACATTTGGCATCTGTTTGCTTGCCTTTGTTTTGTCATTTTTACTATAAGAGATTGAGTTTATATCTGTCCTTGTATTTTAGGTCGATCGTCCCTGTTTCCAATAGACGATAGCTTGTTGGACGATGGTCACAGTGATCAAGTTGGTGTTTTAAATTCACCCACATGTTATTCAGCTCATCAAAATGGAGAACGAATAGAACGCTTCTCTCGAAAAGTTTTTGTTGGTGGGCTTCCTCCAGATATTGATGAAGGTAAGTTCATCCAACCTTAAAAACAAAATGTAATAAAAAGGAATTTTTGAGATCAATTATTTGAACAAGTACTTTGAAGTTCTAATGATATTTTTAGCATATGCATCATCACTGTGAGCATTTTTTGAAGGTCTCTATGTTCTAGCCCATATCCTAATGTTTAATGCAGAACACACATGCCAATATCTGTGTGACTGTAACACACACATGGCATTCCTATGCACACATACACAGTGCAATAGATGGAACCAGGTATGAATCTCTATCTGTAGTATGCAAAAATCAAAGGTTAAATTTCTTGAAATTTATCAATTTACTTAAAGATACAGAAACACAGTGTGAAATCCAATAAGGAAGTGGAAATAAAACATAAAATAGGAAATTAGTACTATGCAAATGTTAGTTAATATGTAATAATACAGAAAAATAACTTAAGGTAGAGGTTAAAAAATATTTAAACTATGCTTTTAATGTCATGAGAAATCTACCCATTTGTTAATAGCCTACAGAGAAGATATTGATACATTTAGAGAATATTTTCAGTTATTGTTCATATATTTGCAAATATATTCTGCATATTCATCAGCTTAACATAGACTGTATCATTGAAATTGAACGTACAGTATTTGAATGTCAATGAAATTGCCTGGGTTATATTAGCAGTGGTATGTTTTACTGACATTATAGCTAGTCTTGTTTCAGTAGACCTTATCCTAACATGAACATGGTTTCACTTGTGAACACCAATAGCTGTTTTAATTAACTTGATAATAATGGCATGTTTCAGCCCAGCGCTAGTCTGATTGGGTATACTATAAAGTTGTTAGTATTCAGGTGATGTATGAAATAATAGAATTCACATTGAATACCTTAGTCTAGCTAGTGTGCTGCTTAAAAATGAATTTATTTTGACTACAACAGTGAAATTTTATATAGTGTTTTAGTAAAGATCTGTTTTCTTTTTACATTAGAGTTAATCTTAAGGTATTTGACTCTTTAGACATAAGTCTTCCAGGTACTTAGAAACAGGGTTTCTTGGAATGAATCATAAGGACTAACTTGTGATGCACATTCTATACTTTTCTAAGATGAGATCACTGCCAGCTTCAGAAGATTTGGACCTTTGGTAGTAGACTGGCCCCATAAAGCAGAAAGCAAATCCTACTTTCCACCAAAAGGTAAGAGGTTTATTACTAATATTTGCGAAGTTGTATGAGAACAAAAGAAATAATATCAATTTCTTATTTGGGGTCTTCTTTTAGAATTGAGCATAAGTACCTTTCTATAAATACTAATGATTTATGGACTGAGCAGATGGCTTATCCAGTGAGGGCTTTCACCACACAACCCTAAGTTCTACCCTAGATCCCGTAGAAAGGAGAAGGAGAGAACGGGCTCCTGAAAGTTTTTTTCTGACCTCCATACAGATAATCAATAAAAGCTGTTTTAAAATTAATCTTTGCAGAGACCATCAGTCTGAGTGGAGTGAGGCAGAGCGATTTTAAGAACTGCTCCAGTTTCATTTGAAGCTGTTAAGGAGTCATAAGATTTGATACACTTTCCTCAAAACTTTCTAATGATTTAATAAATTCAAATGAGTATATGTTTGGATATGTCTCTGCCTAAAGCATTAGTCTAAAGTCACATGGATTCAAACTTATTTTCCATTCTATGAGATCAAGATACACATGAAGTGATTCATTTACATTTTATAAGATAAAACCGTTTACATAATTTCCAAGAAATACACAAGCAGGTGATGATGTGACGCAGCACTGGGAGCATTTGTAACTCACTGTCAAGTGTTTATAAAAGAGTAAACCACCAGAGGAAGAAGGAGCAAAACACATCGGCCTAGGAGCGTGGGTGCAGACTTTGTCAATGAGACTTCAGTTGCTCAGGAAATAGGCCACCATCCTAATGAAATTAAAAAAAAAAAATCCTGTACGGTGAAGGAAATAACCAAGTGAAGGGATGGCCTTCAGCTAGAGAATGGAAGGAAAATCTTCACCACTTTACCTGTGGTGTGGGATTAATATCATGAATAAATACACAGAGAACTCAACAGACCAACAAGAAAGCACATGACCAAACCAAAATATGGACTTAGGAAGTGAATAGATTTAAAAAAAAAAAGTACAAATGAACAATAAGTAACTTACAAAGCATGCAGCAGTTTAATCATCAGAGAAATGCAAATTAAAACCACTTTGAGATCTCATCTCACTCTAATAAAGAACGACTATCTTCAAGAAAAGAAGCAAATGCTTGTAGGGATGTGGGAAAGAAGAGCCCACTCATGTTGGTGACAGAGCACATTCAGGGCAGCCACCAAGGAAATGAGTGCAGAGATTTCTCAAAATATAAAAAGTAGAGTTATCATTTGATCCAGTTGTGCCACTGCCTGGCATGCACCCAGAGGGCTTTGTCTAAACCTCAGACAGCTTGCACGTTCTTGTTTACTGCTGCTCTTTATGAGGGCTGAGAAAGGGAATTAGTCTGGCTCCCTCTCACCTGGCGGAGAGATAATGAAAATGACATTCAAGTACACAGTAGACTTTTATTCAACCAGAAAGAAAAGTTAAATTAAGAAAATTTTGGAAAAATATGTGGAAGTAAAAAATATATTAAGTGAGGTTACTCAGCAAGAAAGACAAATGCCACTGTCTCCTTCATATGTAGATCTAGTTTCTGATTTTTAGTATCTCTGTATTTATGTGGAACGAGTGCGTATCGCAGTCAGAAAACTAGAAAGGGGCCATGAGACGGGAAAGGGAAAGAGGCGTCGGGAGCTAAGGGAAAGGATGGTAGAGCGCATGTGGGGTGAAAGGAGGAGCCCTGGTGGAAGGGCTGGAGTGGGGTGAGAGCAGAGAGAGTAGTAAGGGCTTTGGAGGCATAGCGGTCAGCAATGCCCAAATGTGTATGAATTGTCCTAAGGAAACCTGTTTCTTAGTCAACTAGCTAAAAATAATTTTTTAAAAGGGTAAAAAATGTGAGGAATAAATGTAGTTGCTTGGACCACTTACTGCGAGGATAATTCTGTGGCTCATCACTACACAGAAGTCCCTGCCATGCTTATGCTCCTGTACAAGTCATGTCATCAAGGATACGTTTCCTGGGGAAAGGAGGTTGTGTTCCCAACAATAGGAAGAAAGGGTAAAGAAGAGCTGATGTTATTGCTCATTCAGAACTACAAACAGCAAATTAGCCATAGTAAAGAGGGATACATTGAAGAACTTTTAGTTTAATATCATTAAAACAGGTCTAGAAAAAGTCTCATGGCTGGGAGGATTAACAAGTCTGGATAAGGCACCTCTGAGCTCCCACCCATCCCCACCTGCATTGCTCCCGCCACTCTTCTGCATCTACATGCTGTGTTCTCTCACTTCTTGCCGTGGTCTGGACACAGCAGTCTCTGAAAGCACAACCAGTTCCTAAACACTTCACTGCTGGGGTAAAGGCCAACCTGCATCTGTCCCACCTGATCTCGCATCTCTCTCGCTGCTTGTTAGTCCTCATCCTCTTCCCAGTCCCACAGTACTGTCTGCTCCAGGACCTCTCTGTACAGTGTTCTGTCGTCATGAAGTTTTTGTGCCTCTGCCCTGCAATATTGGGGTGTGTGTGTGTGTGTGTGTGTGTGTGTGTGTGTGTGTGTGTGTGTGTTAAAGAGGGGGAAGGAGAAAGAGACAGAGAGAGGGAGGGGAGGAGAGAGAGAGAGAGAGGGGATATTATGTTCTCTGGAAAACAGAATGATTCAAACCTATTTGATTGGCTTTATGTATCTTAACAGTACTTATATTGAGGTAAAGTCACTTAACTTGACATGCATCATTTTTTATGGTTATTCCAGGCTATGCATTCCTCCTCTTTCAAGAAGAGAGCTCAGTTCAGGCACTCATTGATGCTTGCATTGAAGAAGATGGAAAGCTCTACTTGTGTGTTTCCAGCCCTACGATCAAGGACAAGCCTGTAAGTAAACAGCACATGAACTGTGGCCTATAAAGACGGCTGTTCAAACAGTATTTTTAAATTACTGCTTTAAAAATTAAGACTGCACTAACAATTTTAAACAGTAAAATAAATAATTTTCTTCACAGGTTCAAATCCGTCCTTGGAATTTAAGTGATAGTGATTTCGTCATGGATGGTTCTCAGCCTTTGGATCCCAGAAAAACAATTTTTGTTGGAGGTGTTCCCAGGCCATTAAGGGCTGGTAAGTAGACTCCCTAAGTCATACAAATTTGTCTTCTCTTTTTGTTGATTTTGGTATCTAAGGAAGTATGCATTTTTCTGCATTTGAGTTATTAACTGAACTTAGTATTTTAAAAGAATGAGTTACAAAGTTCTGTTTCTCAGTAGCTAGTAACCAAAACTCTGCAGACTGTCAGGTGGGGTATAATTATATGTGTGAGTATTTTCTGAATGTGCCTGCTGTGTAGTGTCACACCATCTGAAGGAGCTAGTGATTGCTGTCTCTGAAAGCAGCCTCCTCAAGTCAGGGAGATACAAATTAACGTTACACGAGTAAACGCTTGATGAAGAATGTGATACCTGCTGCAAAGAAAGATGATTGGAGTAGGAATGCATGTATGTGTGTGTTTATATATTCGTATATTTATAAATATATGAATGTGGTATGTCCATATTTAGAATATACTATGATGTGATATCTTAAAAATATTTAAGCTGATTTTAAAAACTAAAGAGAGTTTGGACAACGGGAGCATTGTGAAGAGTGTGTTTCAATGACAGAGTGAACAGCACATATGGAAGTCAAGTGCAGAGCAGCAGAGGATATTCATGGGGGGACTGCATAAGGCATAGCTGGATGACCTAGGGTGCATAGAGTTATGGAGGAGATACAGAATGATATTGGAAGAAATCAACAGAAGTTAGATCATGCAAGTCTAATAGACTAATTGATGTTGATCGTTAAAACATGAGGGTTTTTTAAGCCGAAGAGATACACATAGGCCTGTTTTGGAAAGATCAGATAAGCTGATGATTCATGAAGAAGAAGAGATTGAGTAAATAAATAATGGTAGGCCATGTACGGGCCTCTTGTATGGGATTGCTAGTGGGGGTAGAGAAAGAACCAGTTGGTCTGATATTTGAATCCTTAGGCAGAAAGTGCTGTTGGGTGGTTGGTGATGGCTTGTAACTAGCTATGGGAAACAACCAAGGAGGGGCAAGTTAAAGGAGATTGGGATTTGGGCTATGAATGGCCCCATTCAGAAATCTGCAGTGGAAATTTCAACTAAACAATGTGGCATCTAGTAAAGTGTTTAAAAAATAAATTTCTAGTGTTTTGGAAATAAATGGGAGAGGAAGGATTGAAGACAAGCAGATAAGCTTGTTTCCATTAACCAAATGAAAAATGCTGGATTTTAAAGCAGACCTGACTGATGGAAGTGGGCAAATTGGATTGTCACTATGTTCTGAAAAGCAAGTCTATGAGATTATCTGTATAGTGAAAATGAAGAATGAAGGCAGAAACTCTGTTGCTTACCCAGTTGAGTCAATGAAAACTCATCAGATCATGTTTTATTAAGTAGAGGAAGAATGTGTTCATGTGTGGTTCTTTTTAGCATGCTATGTATTGCAGTATCACTTGAAATTGTCTGGTGGATGGTTGTTTGTGAGTATGGAATTCAGATACAACTTCAGGTCCACAGGTGGTATTCAAACACGTGACATAGAATGGGATCACCCAAACCCAAGTGTAGACAAAGGTACAGAGCCTGACGTTGCTCTGACGTTGAAAAGTGAGGCTAAGAAGTCGTCAGTGAAGTGAATTATCAGCAGAATCAAATGCCTTGCAATTCATATGCAAAAAAAATTCCAGGCAAAGTAATAGATTAGCTATGATCAGTGCTTCCAGCAAGAAGATTGAGCATTGGACTTATGAGATGGGAAAGTTGATCTTGAAAAGATCAATTAAAGTGGAGTCACAGGATGATAATCTAATCGTTAAGGGTTGTACAGATAGGTATGGGGTTAATCTGGCTACAAAATCTGTTACCCATTGGTCACCAGGGTGATTGAGCTGGTCTGTCCTCCCTCACCATACTGTGTTTCCCTTCCAACCTGAGTGCTCTGTTAGAGAGAACAAGATTCTCTTGTAGGAAGAGAAATGAGTTTGAGAAGAAAGCTGAGCTGTGGGAGAGAGGAGGTGCCAAAGCAGTGTCCTTCCCTGAAGAAAGTGTATGAGATGAATAGGCAGGTGAAACAGCTGGATTTTAAGGAAAAAACATGAAACTCTGTCTCACACCAGATTATTAGACAGTGCGTGTGGTGGTAATGCGTGTAACTCTACAGTAAGAAGTGGTTTGGGGTTATTAATCTGTTTGTGAGGGTTAAGATGTAACTCAGGTGTCGAATGCCTGCCAGCCCATGCAAAGCTCTGGCTCCCAGGCTTCCTCTTAACAGCTGCTTTGTGTTAGTGTTCTCTTAACTCACTGTTGATTTACTGTCTTCTCACCTTCAACCTGAGTGTCTTTTCTTTTGAAGTGGAACTTGCTATGATCATGGACCGGCTGTATGGTGGTGTGTGTTACGCAGGAATTGATACGGATCCAGAACTAAAATACCCAAAAGGTGCTGGGCGAGTTGCTTTCTCCAATCAGCAGAGCTATATTGCTGCCATCAGTGCTCGATTTGTTCAGCTTCAGCATGGTGATATTGATAAACGCGTAAGTTACATAGCGGGAAGTCTTCTGTGTCTCACTTAATACGTATAGGTGCTTTTTATCGTAAGGAGTTGATAACATGGCTCAAACACTTTTATCTTCCTTTATCTCCTACACTATATCCTTGAAATACAAATTTCTTAATGTATTTTAAACTTGAAGCATTACATAAGAACCATTAAGTATAGATGTGATTTTAAAGCCATGTCAGAAGTTTTTATCAGCCTATTGGTCCCAGCTATCCGTCTAGCTGTGGAGCAGTTTATACAACCTTGTGCTCAAGACAGAGTGCCTGGGACCAAGCCCATGTCTGCCATTGGCTCTGTAATCTCAGGCAACCGGCCCTCTCTGCCAATTTTCCTGACTTAAAGTGTGGGAAGGAGTGCTAGTTAGTCTCTAGGTTATTTTGAGGACTCAGTGAAGTTCATGTGCAGAGACACTTGGAGAAGAAGTTGGCCCACAGAAAGTGCTAGTTAAGAGCTAGTTTTCATTTATAAAAACTAAAATTCAGAAACTGTGTGTATTTCTGTAAGTCATTTGACCTAAAATTGAAAACACTGGTTTATTAGCGCATAGACTGGGTCTGTATATAGAAGTCTGTGAATGACAGCTGAAAGCCGTCCTCCTGAATACTTGTGAGCTCTGATTGCCATCTAAAATAGGAGAAAAGCTGCTCATTTACATATCAGTTTCACACCAAAATCTGTGAATTGTACATCAGTAACGATTCTAAAACAGTGACACCAGCCAGCCAGCCAGAGACAACAGCCTAGGGTGTTCCTCAGTTACAAGAAGGCAAGGCTGCTGCAGTAAAGCAGCCAACACTGATCCACAGTGTAGCGATTCCCGGGTCTTAAACCTTCCCTGTGTTCAGTCTTCCCAACTCCAGCAGAGTCTGCATTCTCACAGATGTGGAAACAGGTCAAGAGAGTCCCCTCAAACCTGACATCATCTGCTCAATCAGTCCTTCACAGTGGGGCTTTATATCTTACGAGTTTATAATGAGGTCTGGATATGCCCTGGATCAGATTAGCCACAGTTCTGACTTGTTTGCAGCAGCTACTGCAAGCAAAGTGCAGCTCTGGCCTGCGAAGAGAAGGCTGCTGCAGTCCTGGTGGCTATTGAGTTTCACCAGCTTACAGATGATACTATAATGAGAGGAAAATCTGGCAAGAAATTTGTCTCCCATGATAATCCTTTATGAATTTTGCTCATAATTTGAAAAGACTAATGCTAGCATACAGGTGTTCCAAAGATACAAAAGTGAGACTAGAATATCTTCAATCTTAGTTTTTAAAGTGTTCTTCTCTCTTTGGAAAATAGGATTAAATAGCTCTTCGTGACCTCTGAGGGAAACATGTTGAAATCAGTGAATTAGTGTTTAACCACTTAAGCTCACAGCCAATTATGAACCTGAAACACGATACACAAATGTACTCAGCACAGAAGCAAGCTGGCTTTCATTTCCCCTCCAGTGGGGGAAAGCGGCTTCCCTAAGACACTGCTACTTTTCTCTAAAACACTATAAACATTTAAAATCATTCCAATTTTTTTTTTCTGAAGCAGATGCCAGATTTTTTTTTTTTACCTCTTGTCTTTGTAGGTGGAGGTAAAGCCATATGTGCTGGATGACCAGATGTGTGATGAATGCCAGGGCGCACGCTGTGGTGGAAAATTTGCCCCCTTTTTTTGTGCCAATGTCACTTGCCTGCAGTATTACTGTGAGTTTTGTTGGGCAAATATCCACTCTCGTGCAGGACGTGAGTTCCATAAGCCATTGGTGAAGGAAGGTGCTGATCGCCCACGTCAGATCCACTTCCGCTGGAATTAAGTCGAGCAAACTGGCCTCCATCTACCAAGGAAAGAAAGGGTGCATGTGGCTTACTGTGCTGAAGATACTGACCTGCAGAAGAGATAAGTGCATTCTTCTGCTTCTCACCCAGCTCTCAATACATGCATCGTTATCAGCAGCCAAACACTACAAGCCTCTTGTTTTTCACCAAAACCCTACATCTCAGGCTTACTAATTTTTGTGATATTTTCATGTTAAAATAAAATGTTTTTTTGTATTTTCTCCAAGTTATTTTTATATGTAAAGTTAAAATTAGATATGAGAATGTTTTGCGTAGGGGCAACACAGTCTGCTGCTATATAGTGGGTGAAGCGTGCACTTATTTCTTAACATGGGTTTTTAACTTCAAGATCTGCCCCAGTACTTTACCAAAGGTAGCAAAATAATAGTGAAGATGGAATATGTCTGCTACAAATGCTTATTTTTATTGTTGCTGTTTTCAGTGTGTACATAAACTAAAAATTAGGGTTGATTTTGTTGCTCTCCATTTTGACTTGCAAGAAATAATACCTCAAGATAATCTGATTTATTAGCTATTTTTAAACATTTTTAATCACAAGCTGTATTAGCTTTGCTGCTATATAGGTGTTATGTGTAAATGTCACCTATTAATACGGGATTGAAAACGTTAGAGACACACTGCATTGCGGATGAAATGCAGGCAGCACAATATGGCCGAAACTGCCATAGTTTAGAATGTGAAACAATGCATGTTTACTTAACCTGTGTCCACCATATGCATGCACTAGGACATTAACTAATGAGGTGAGGTATTGCAAATGTTCAAAAAGCTCTCTTGAATCTAGGTAGCATGGACAAATTATAAAATTTGTTTCTTTACAAAACAGCAAACTTGCATGCATTCTTGTGACTTCAAGTTAAAAATGTTGTCCTACTTGTGTACAATATGCAAATTAGTTTTAGATTAGAGAGTGCAGCCATTTTGTGATCTGGTCAGTAGTGGAATTCGATTTTATGCAGACTGGATGTAATATTTGTAATCCCTGTGCAATTTTGTGATGTGCGGTTCTAATTCATGTGCAGTGATATAGTATAGATTAAAGATTGAATAAAAGAAAAACACAGGAATTTTAAAGAAAGTTGATTTTAGCCCCTTTGATAGTTCATGGTTAAGATATCCTTTAAAAACCAAAGATGGCCAGCACACTGCTAACCAGTCACCGAATGTGAGACCATGAGAAGCCCATACTTAAAGAGAGGGTTTTATAGAAGAACACAGAACTCTAGTGAAGTCGAAATGGAGATGGGAAAATATAACAGATGGCTAGTTGCAGAAAATTTACCTTTAAGACAATGGTGAAATCTGGCTTAAATTTGCTTATATGTTTGACCTATGTATATGGGGTCTTCTGTCTAAACTGGGGTCACTGTTGCATGGAGCATTGTTATTCTTAATGGTTAAGAATTGCTTTTTTAAAACTTTGATGAAGGAATTTCAGTAATGACTTTGCTTGCAGTTTTTTTCTTTTTTCTTTGTTGAGGGAGTTGCGTGGAAACATGCACAGTTCTGACCTAGAACATGGTTCATGGTGGTTTTCCTCTTTAGAGCATCCTAGCCACAGCTAGCTCTGTGTTGATGATGTAGGAGGTTACTCTGCAGTGGAAGCAAAGCACCCCACAATGGTAAATGGTTTTGGTTTTGGTTTTGTTTTTATTTTAATGCAGAACTAAGATTTTTGACTCTAAAGAGAGAAAATTACAAGGGTATAGCCTGTGCAGCAAGCCCTTGGGACAATCCTTCACATGAGCAAAGTGCTGATCTCAACATTGGTTGTCAATGGTATGCTTTTTTGTACTGTAAAAATACGTGGTTCATGTCTAACTCTGCTGTTTTATTGTGGTTGTGGCTCAAGTTTTTAATGTTTGAAGTTGACGCTGTTTTCAGAGGAGCTCTTTACTAGTTTATTTGTCAGTGTCCCTACTTGTTACTCCCATGACCCTCCAGAGTGTCTGGAGCATTCTTTTCTACCCTCGCCCTGCCAGACCTTGATCCATTTTGACATTTGTTATGCACTATTTTTATATCTCTGTGAGAGATTTTTCCAACAGTCAGCTATTTTATGGCACACTTTTTTTGACTGATGACATCTCCTTTGCTATACCTCAATTTTTGGAATTTAGAAAAGAAATCAGTAGTTTTGCAATGTTAATTATTTAGATATTTAATTTCGCAGATTTTTAAACTTTATTTTCATAATTTCTGCTTAATGTTTAAAATTGAAGAGCCTTTTCATGTATTAAATAATGAACTCTAAAATAAATTGTGTGATAATTGGAGACACCGAAAATCATTTTCCCTTCTTAAACAGAATCAACTTTGAAATGAAGGGAAACGAAATGGTGCCCTTTCCCACCAGGGTGACCGCGACAGAAATGCTGGTTTGTGTCACCTTCGTTTCTGTTAGGACAGAGCTTATTGGTCTAATATTTTGTTCCCCCTGCCTCACCCCTACCTCTAATTTGTTTCTTTTTCTGTTTGGGGATTATTTTTCCTTTTATGTACTACATTCTTATTTTCTAACTGTTGAACACTGTATTAGAGTTTTTTTAATTTACAGATCATATTTATTTTACTATTTTTGTAGAAAATTATTAATTTTGATTGTATTTTTGTATTTCAAAGCTTCTTCATTTGTGTTCCCTAAATGTTCATATTGCTGCCCAAAAGTATGAATGACTGTGGAGGAAAAAGTACTTTAAAAGTCCACCCTTTTTGTTAAGAAGGAGACATTTAGCATTTATATATTTGTGTATGGAAAACACTTGATATTTTATCCCTGTTGCATCTGGCTGCACGAGCCTCTCCTCACAGATGCCGCAAAACTTGAATATAACACACTTTGGAAGGCTGACTAACCTCGATTCTGTGTTGTGATGTGCAATACTGTTTCTAATGTTTGTATAAAGATACAGTGTAAACCTTTTTAATGCAAATTTATTTTTTTCATTGCATATTTTGCAGACTTTATCCACAGTGTCATTTTTTACTGTCAGAAAAGATGCCCCTTTTGTCATTGCAACTATTTTTTAAACCCAGAAATCTTTGTACTGATGTAAATGATTGTAGTTATTTTGGATAGTGTTTTGCTAACAAAAGGAGAGACTTTTTTCATGCATATTTCTATTTTGTTTTTTTGGGTTTTATTTTATTTTAATAGTAGTAAAATACTTGGAATAATTTTTCATATTCTTGTCATTAATATTATTTTGTATTTTTATGTGAAAATATATAATTTTATGACACTAATTGCTAAAGTTTATTTTATGTTGAATTATTTTTGGAGCTGAAATCTTTGTAATATTAAAGCAACTAGTTTCTAATTCCCAGTTTCTGTATAGAATCGCACAAGTGGTTTATGGAGTGTTTGGATTGTAACTATAAATGGTTCTTTGATATGCAAATTAATATTTTCAGTTGATTTTATTTTATATTCCTAATGGGGTGTTAAAGCCGTTTTTTATTTTTTTCTAAATAAAAAGAGAACCCATGCTTTTATGGACACTAGGTAAAACGCCTTCAGCTTAAAATTTTTGTTAAGTAATTTAGTTTATTTTATTGTTATCTTCCAGGTGTCTAAATCTCCAGTCTGTCTGTTGTACTGGTAATTTAACTCTGTAATGGAATAGTTTGCTGCCAACTATTTATATTAAGTAATTTTTAAATATTTGTAATATTGTTGACTGACTAATAAACTATTAAGTTATTGGCATAGCTGTGGAACCTTATTTTATAGTTTGCACCTTACACACTGCCGGGGGCAGGGAAAGTGGTGGTTTTCTCAGAGGCCACTCCACAGTGTCGCATACAGCTGGGAGAAGCCCCAGGGACTAACTATGCAGAATTCCTCGGTATTTAAGCCTGGAAGCCCCTTTGCATTTATGCCCTTTCCTGCACCTAGCCCTAGCACACCTTAGAAATCTCTCACAGTGCCCCCAGAAGTGTCACCTTATCTGACTTGATGCAGTACTCAAGGCTGCCTAGACAGTGCAAAGGTCAAGAACACTGATGTTCTTCCAGAGGACTCCAGTTTGGCTCCCAACATCAAGTTGGGCAGCTAACAACTGCCTGTAATTCCAGATCCACAGGAGCTGGGACACTGGCATGCACATGCATTTAAAACCAGACCTGTAAATCAATGTTTAAAAACAAAGTTAATTAATGGAAAGTAGGTCTAATGATGCCGCTTTAGTGATTCACTGTGTGTGCACCCACTTGTCACTTTCTCCCCTATCTCTATACATCCTGTGGGTAGCGGAGGAACAGGAACAGATGCATAGACTGAGCAACCTGAGGCCTGGGTCCCTTATCCTAAAGTTGAAGTTCCATCATGAAGCCAACATGTGGTTCTGGGAAGAGAGAAAGGAAGAATCCATTGCTTTTGTTAGAAAACTGATTATAGTGAAGATTTTTTTTTGTCTGTGAGCATACAGCTCCTAGAGAGAATAATAGGCATTTCAAAACAAAATTTTTTATTTTCAGGGCGTCAATAGCCTGCCTCTTTCCCAGGGCTCAGGGGTTATCATGGAAGAGGGGGCAACAAGACTATAAATGGATGAACAGGTGACTCAGTGGTTTGTAGCACTCGCTGCTCTTCCAGAGAACCCAAGTTTGGTTCCCAGAACCCATGTAGGATAAGGAACCCAGGCCTCCTAACTGCCTCCCTGTAGCTATAATCCTAGGGGATTCTGTACTCTGCAGGTACCTGAACACATGTGGAACACACAGACACACACGAATAAAAATGAAAATATATTTTGGAAATCTGTAAGAGCCAGAGGTTTGAGAGGACTGGGGACCAACTGTCTTTCGGAGACAGGACTCTTGGACTCATGAACCCTTAGGGCCTGCTGCTGAAGGCACAAGCCCTGCACAAGATCAAGCCAGTCAGATTTCCAGTGGGAGGGGCCATGCACACAGTCTCCCACCCAGCACAAGGAGGGGGAGGGAATATCAGTTCAAGGTTGTGGTCCTGGTAGGTTGCCCATACTTTATACTCCATGGCTACATCATGTACATAGAGGCAGAACTGGCTGGACTCAGTGGGTTACAAAAAAAAAAAAAAAAAAAGAAAAAAGAAAAAGGGAATGGAGGGTGATCCAAGACAAGTTGGAGGGGAGTGTAGGGGTGAATATGATCCAAAATGCATTGCATACATGTATGGATATTCAAAAATAATGGTTATATTTAAAAATAAAATTGGGCTGGAGAACTGGCTCAATGGTTAAGAGCACTGGCTGCTCTTCTAGAAGACCCATATTCATTCCAAGCCTGGCTACTCATAACCATATGTAATTCTGGCCTCGGTATCCTTCATCCTCTTCTGGCTTCCAAAGGCACCAGGCATGCAATAAATGCACATACATACATGTGACAAAATCTCCATACATATGTTTTTTAAGATGTAAAAGTTAACATTTTCCCATATTCTACAATATGATCAATCCCCCTAAATGGGTTAGTCAGCATTATGGCCCCTACATCATCATCACCACCATCACCCATAGCCTACACCATTGCCATAGCCTCCCGAATAAAACATGGATTTGCACTTAGTTCTATCTCAACACAGGCTACTGGTTTTTCTATTTGAAATCTCATAAAATCCAAAGATTCTCATCTATTCTGTGGTATTTTAAATTATAGCAAGTGTTACATTGTCTCGGCTTCTCTGATGCTGACACATCATCTAACTTGCTAGGCTCCTCTTTCACTTAACAAAAGAATTGTTTGGTCTTTTTGAGACAGTTTCCCCAAATCAGGCTGTCTTAGAAATCAGCCTCCAAGGAGCTTCAATTACAAGTGTGAGCCACGGCACTCAGCTACAAAAGAATTCGTTTCTAATACAACCTAAGGACTGGACACTTACAAAGTAGGATCCTTGCCACCATTCCCCTTTATATAGCCCTCTGTAGAAGTGAAAATTCAGTTTAGTTCAAACACAAAGGAATACACTACAGAAGATAAAACAAGTTAGAAAATATGGTTGATGTGAAAGAGAACTGCTTCTTGAAACAATTTGACTTCATTAAATTCATGTTGAAGAATATGTCTTAAATTTTTGCATTTTTTTAAAAAATGTAGTTGGGCCCAAGATGGTTCAGAGGGTAGAGTACCAGCTGTGTAAACATAAATACCTAAGCTCGGATCCCTAGCATTCACATACAAACCAGCCATGATGGCAGGCATCCGTAACCCTAGCAACCACATACAAACCAGCCATGATGGCAGGCATCCATAACCCTAGCACCCACGTACAGACCAGCCATGATGGCAGGCATCCGTAACCCTAGCACCCACGTACAGACCAGCTATGATGGCAGGCATCCGTAACCCTAGCACTCACATACAGACCAGCCATGATGGCAGGCATCCGTAACCCTAGCACCCACGTACAGACCAGCTATGATGGCAGGCATCCGTAACCCTAGCACCCACGTACAGACCAGCCATGATGGCAGGCATCCATAACCCTAGCACTCACATACAGACCAGCTATGATGGCAGGCATCTGTAGCCCTAGCACTCACGTACAAACCAGCCATGATGACAAGCATCTGTAACCATAGTTCTGTGGGAAGTGGAATGGAAATGGGGAGGAACCCCGGAGCATATTGGTCAGACAGTCTAGTCAGTTGTGAGCTCCATGTTCACTTGGAGATCTATCAAAAAATTAGCTGGAGACACCTGAGACTAACCGCTGAACTGCACATATACATGAACACAACACACACCGTGGGGGGGGGGGATGAGAAGTTTAACACCAAACAAACCTTTCTAAACTATCTATATGGGGCTAGAGAGATGACTTAGCAGTTAAAAACACTCCTCGCTCTTCCAGAGGACCAGAGTTCAGTTCCCAGCATTCAGGTCAGGTCTAAGTGCCTGTAACTCCAGGGGTATATATAATACCCTCTTCCTACGTATTCTCTCTCTCTCTCTCTCTCTCTCTCTCTCTCTCTCTCCTCTGTGTGTGTGTATGTGTCCTCCCTCTCCACATACACAAATAAAAATGTTTTTAAAAGAAAAACGTGTATTTGAAGGCCAGAAGGAAGTGTTATATTTAGGAAATAAAGATGGTGCTAGGTCTCAGTCATGGGCAAAGATGGCCATCTAATGTATCATTACAAAGTAAAATTTCTATTTCAGTTAGGTGACCACTTTAATCTTTTAGGTTCTGCCTCTTTCATATGGTTGCATAGTTTACTTCCTCATCACTAAGGACCAAACTTACCTTGCTCAGTTGAGTTCAAGATACTGTTTTTAGTGTGTGTGTGTGTGTGTGTGTGTGTGTGTGTGTGTGTGTGTGGTGTATGAGGTATGGGGAGTTCACACATTGTCACACTGCACTTCTGCTCATGTGGGTTCCTGAGGTCAAACAGAGGTCATCAGGACTGTGCAGTCAGCTGAGCTGTCTCCCAGCCCCTCAGTTATGACTGACTTCCTATGATCAGCATGTTTTCCTCTCAGATGTACCAGGCATGCACAGCTCAGGCCACAGTGCTCCTCTCGTGAGCATCCTGACGCATTTCTCTCCACTCACATCCACGTGTTTTCTATCTTGCTAATGAAGTGTAGTTTAAGGAAGATGGAAAAGCAAATGCTTGCTCCGATGATAAGACAAGAGAGAGGGGGAAGAAATTCGAAACCCAGGTCTCAGATTTTTTTTTTAGAGGAGGACCTGAATTCCAGATCTTCAAGACTTCTTTCATTTTTAGAATTGTATGATATCACTCAACATCAATTCACACTGTATTTTAAAACTCTTGCCAGGAAATGGGAGCTTCTTCCAAGTGAGTACCCAGCCTAGTCTATGTGTACGATGATAGCAGACTAGTCACGGTACACAAAGGGAAGCTACTTGTGTCTGTCAATGGAAAATCAGCAAAACACTTGGGATATTAACTGTGCAAGGAATGTTACTCTTCTCAGAAGGACATCCTGACACGTTCTATAACACAGGTGAACGTTGAAGACATTGCACTAAGAAAAATAACTCAATTGCTCAAAACCAAGAAAGTATTCCATAATACAATGTACCAAAAGTAGTGACTTTTACAGACACAACAGAATGGAGTTTTCCAAAGTCTGGGGAGTTATTGCTTGGTTCAGACCTTGGGGTGGAAGTGAAGTGGTGATGGATGGGGCGAGGATCATATAAAACTCTGAATGTGTATAATATATGTAGCATTCACAGAAACTTAAAGATAGAGGGGGCCCCCTTGAGAGATGCTCACCTATTCAAAGCACTTGATACTCTTCCTGAGGCTAGAGTTGGGTTCCCTTCACACATATCAGAAAGCTCAGCACAGCACTGGGGGACCCAACAACCTCTTCTGGCCTCCAGCCCTCCTTCCCTCTACCCCATGCATGCACATATACAAATATAAAATATACACGTAAACTTAAACCCTAAAATCGAGATAGGTTTATATAGTTTGTAAAAATGAAACATAATAATAATACTGCCGGGTGGTGGTAGTGCACACGTTTAATTCCAGAGACAGAGGCAGGCAGATCTCTGTGAGTTCAAGACCAGCCTGGTCTATAGAGCTAGTTTTAGGACTAGCTACAAAGAAACCCTGTCTCAAAAAAACAAACAAAAAAGAATAGTTCACCTGTAGTAGGAGGCTGTTTGTTCATTCCCAGCTGCCCAGACCCAAAATAATCACACAGAAACTATATTATTTGCAATATTGTTTGGCCTATTAG